TGGATCCTTGCGCTCGAGCAGCCAGGCACCTGGTTACGCCGCATGTGGCACATGCGGCGACCTTTTCCCTCCACGCACCAAGCATTTTTGCGAACCAGGTACTACATCGTCTCCATCTCTGTCTCGGTCGTTGCAGCCACCGCAAGAGGATGATGACGATAGGCAGCAACTCCTATTACCGTGGGACCTCAACGACGTAGCAGTGCCCTGGATCAGGTTCGACAAGATACTCTTGAAACGTCAATTTTTCGACAGTCAAACACGTCGATCTGCAACTGGCGAAAGTATTTTGCAAACACTTCCAACATGTCGTCATCATCTTCGTGCAAGCATTTGGAGCTGTACACATGGATCAGCAGAAGTCAGATACCTCAGATTTGTCTCCTCTTGCAGCGGAAAGATATGAAGCAGCACTGTTGAAAGACAACTCCAACTTGTCCGAGCAACAAAGTTGCTTCATCTTACCCCAGCATTGCATGGATCGACTGATGGAAGGATGAACAGGGTATCCCGATTTAACCGCTTTGCAAATGGTGATCTGAGTGAACCTATCGCCTGGCTCATGATGTACGAGAAGAATCGTCGACTTCAGTGTTACGCGGAAACTGAAAACAATCGCCAAAGAAGAGCCACAAGACTTGCGCATGAAAGAGGAGGCATCACGAAAGCTGCCAGTGCCTTAATCTCCCCAGCACCTTCACCGCGAAACAACGACTTGCTGGAGCATCTTCCCAACCTACACCCCAACGAAGATCCTGACGATATTGCTGCTGCGTGGGATTCCAGCATCAAAGCTGCGGGAGATAGTANNGTATTATGCGGATACTGAAGACAATCGCCAAAGAAGAGCCACAAGACTTGCGCACGAAAGCGGAGGCATCACTAAAGCTGCCAGTGCCTTAATCTCCCCAGCACCTTCACCGCGAAACAACGACTTGCTGGAGCATCTTCCCAACCTACACCCCAACGAAGATCCTNAGCAGACGGTAAAGAAAGCCAACCCTCAGAGTGCTCCGGGGCCTGATGGTCTTCGTTTTTCGTATCTCCAAGCTGGTGGGATGAGTGATTTTTTTACTGAAACCTTGGCGGACTTCAGCTTTAAAGTCTTCTACTACGGAGACGAGCTTCCGGATTTCTTTTGGAACCTCCACACCAGTGCCAACCTTTCAGCGCTGGGAGAGAAAAAACGGCCGATTGCAGTTGGAGGGGTTTTGCGTCGCATCATCAGCGGCAGCTTCTGCCGCCAGTACAAGGGAGGAATTGCGAACATCTTCGAAGCACCAAATCACTTCGGAGATGGTGTTCCAGGAGGAGTTGAGATAGTGGCTTCCACAGC